AATAAATTTGGAAAAGCAGCAGGATACAAAATTAACATCAAGAAATTGATGGCATTCTTATACACCAATGATGAAGTCATAGAAAGAGAAACTGAAAAAACAATCCCATTTATCATCACGCAAAAAAATCAAGATACCTAAGAATGAACTTAACCAAAGAAATAAAAGACCTATTCGCAGAAAACTACAGGTCATTGAAAAAAGAAATAGAGGAAGATATAAAAAAGTGGAAGCACATACCTTGTTCATGGATTGGAAGAATCAACATCATTAAAATGTCCATACTACCCAAAGCAATCTATACATTCAATGCAATTCCCATCAAAATACCAACGACATACTTCACAGAACTAGAACAAATACTTCAAAAGTTCAAATGGAAAAAAAAAGACTCCGAATAGTTACTCCAATCTTGAAAAGGAAGGACAAAGTTGGAGGGATCACATTACTAGATTTCAGGTTATACTACAAAGCCACTGTAATCAAATCAGCCCAGTATTGGCACAAAAACAGGCAGATAGATCAATGGAACAGAATAGAGAATCTAGAACTGGACCCAAGACAAGATACTCAATTAATATTTGACAAAGAAGGCAAGAGCATACAGTGGAGTAAAGACAGCCTCTTTAATAAATGGTGTTGGGAAAATTGGACAGGCACATGCGATAAAATGAAAGTAGACCACCAACTTACACCATACACAAGAATAAACTCAAAATGGATAAAAGAGTTAAATGTGACTCATGAATCCATAAAAATCCTACAAGAAATTTTAGGCAACAAAATTTCAGACATTGTACGCAGTAGAATTTTCACGCATACATCACCTAAGGCATCAGAAACAAAGAAGAAAATGAACACATGGGACTACATCAAACTAAAAAGCTTCTGCACAGACAAACAAACAAACAACAACAACAACAACAAAAAACAACACAAAATAACAACCATCAAAATGGAAAGGGAACCCACTGTATGGGAGAGCATAACTGCCAATAATACATGAGATAAGGGGTTAATTTCCAAAATATACAGAGTACTCATAGAACTCAACATAAGGAAGACAAAGGTCCCAGTTACAAAATGGGCAGAGGAACTAAATAGACGCCTTTTCAAACAGGACATACAAATGGCCAAGAGACATATGAAGAAATGCTCAACATCACTAATCAGAGAGATGCAAAGTAAAACAACAATGAGGTATCACCTCCCATGTGTCAGAATGGCTGCCATCAACAAATCATCAAACAACAAGTGTTGGCGAGGATGTGGAGAAAAGGGGACTCTAGTACATTGCTGGTGGGAATGCAGACTGGTGCAGCCACAATGGAAAACACTATGATGGTACCTTAAAAAGTTAAAAATTGAACTGCCATTTGACCCAGTGATCCCACTTCTAGGAATATACCCTAAGAAGCCTGAAACACCAATCAGAAAGAATACATATACCCCCATGTTCATAGCAGCACTATTTACAATAGCTAAGATCTGGAAACAGCCCAAGTGTCCATCAGTAGATGAATGGATAAAAAAGCAGTGGTACATATACACAATGGAGTACTATGCAGCTGTAAGAAAGAAGATCTCTTATCCTTTGAGATGACATGGAGGGACCTGGAAAGTATTATCTTAAGTGAAATAAGCCAAGCAGAGAAAGACAAATATCACATGATCTCACTTATTTGTGGAATATAATGAACATAACAGTCTGAGGAACAGGGTAGACCTCGAGATGTGGAGATAGAGTACAGATTGACAACCCTCAGAAGAGGGGTTGGGGTGGGGGGAGGAAGGAGATAAACCACAGAACTTATATGCATGTATGCATAACCAGTGGACATGGACAAGAAAGCTGGGGATGGGAGGGTGGATGGGAAGGAGGGTGTCAATGGGGAAAAAAATGGAGAAAAATCTTTAACAAAGCAAATTAATATAAAATTAAAAAAAAAAAAGACTCTGAACAGAAGGATATAAAGTCCACACTAGGGGTACACCTCGAGGGCCCAGCTGTGTTATCAGGGAGGGTGTGCCACTGGACGCTACATGATACCTACTACCACAGGCCACCCTAGGAAACCTAGGAGATATAGCAACTCTGCCTAACACATAGAAACAAACACAGGGATGCAGCCAAAATAAGGAGACAAAGAAACATGTCCCAAATGAAAGAACAGAACAGACTTCAGGAAAAGAACTAAACAAAATGGGGATAAGCAGTCTAACAGATGCAGAGTTTTAAACACTGCTTATAAGAATGCTCAATGAACTTAGTGAGAATTTCAGGGAACTTTGTGAGGACCTCAAGAGCATAACAAAAGACCAGTCATAAATGAAGGGTGCACTAACTGAAATAAAGAATAATTTTTAGGGAATCAATAGTAGAGTAGGTAAAACCAAGAAGCAAAAAACACCCAATCAGAACAGCAAAAAGAAAAAAGAATCCAAAACAACATTATAATGATTATAATATAATGATTATAATATAAGGAGACTGTGGGCCAACTTCAAGCATACCAACAGTCACATCATGGGAGTACCAGAAGAAGAGAGAGAACAAGAAATTGAAAACCTATTTGAAACAATAATGACAGAAAACTTCCCTAACTTGGTGACAGAAACAGACATACAAGTCCAGATAGCACAGAGAGTCCCAAACAAGATTAATCCAAAGAGGGACACATCAAGACACATCATCATCAAAATGCAAAAAGTTAAGGACAAAGAGAGAATCTTAAAAGCAGCAAGAGAAAAGAGCTACAGTGGAGCTCCCATAAGACGGTCAGCCAATTTCTCAAAAGAAACATTGCAGGCCAGAAGGCAGTGGCAAAAAATATTTAAAGTGATGAAAAGCAAGGACCTAAAATCAAGATTACTCTATCCTGCAAAGCTATCATTTAGAATTGATGGACATATCAAGAGTTTCCCAGACAAGAAAAAGCTAAAGGAGTTCATCAGCACCAAACCAGTATTATATGAAATGTTGATGGATCTTCTTGAAGAAGATAAAAAGATATAAACAATAAAATGGCAATAAATATATATCTATCAACAATTGAATCTACAAACAAAATGAGCAAGCAGAACAGAAACAGACTCATAGATACAGAGAACTTTTTGTTGCTTGCCAAATGGGAGGGGAGTTAGGAGAAAAAAGATGAAGGGATTAGGAAGTACAAATTGGTTGCTAGACTGATGAACCTCAAAAGGAAGGGGGAAGGTTGGGCAGGAAGAGAGAAACCAAAAACTTATATGCATAAATGCATAATGAATAGACACAGACAATAGTGTGGAGAAAGCAGGAGGGGGACAGAATTGGGGAGGAGGAGGTCAAGGGGGGAAAAGGAGGAACATCTGTAATACATTCAACAATAAAGATAAGTTAAAAAAAAAGAACCATAAACTTAAGGAGAATGTAATATGTAATATGATACTTTGACAATATTTATTATTCAGGGTTATTTTTCTTGAGTAGTTCCTAATAAAAAAGCATTCTAGAAGTGAAAACACACATACACACAAAAGTACTGTAGCCTTGCCCTGGCCAATTTGCCTCAGCAGTTAGAGCATCAGCCTGTGGACCAATGAGTCTCAGGTTCAATTCCAGCCAAGGGCACATACCTTGGTTGCAGTTCGTCCCCGGCCCTGGTTGGGGTTGCCAAGGCTGGTGTGGCTCAGTGGATTGAGCATTGTCCCATGGACTGAGAGGTCTTGGTTCAATTCTTGGTCAGGACTCAATCCCAGTAGGGGGTGTGCAGGAGGCAGCAGATCACTGCTTCTCTCTCACGTCAATGTTTCTATTTCTCTTTCCCTTCCTCTCTCTCTAAAAAATCAATAAAAACATATTTTTAAAAATAATTAGCCCTGGCCAGTTTGGCCCAGCGGTTAGAGCGTCAGCCTGCGGTCTGGAGAGACCCGGGTTCGGTTCCCGCTAAGGGCACGTACTTCGGTTGCAGTTTGTCCCCGGCCCTGGTTGGTCGTGCGGGTGGCAGCCACTTGATGTGTCCCTTCACGTCGATGTTTCTGTCTGTCTCTCCCTTCCTCTCTCTCCCTCCCACTCTATCTGTACAAAAAATGGAAAAATATCCTCGGGTGAGGATAAAATAATAATAATAATAATAATAATTAAATAAAAGTACTATAGCCTGGCTAAAGAGGCTCAGTTGGTTGCATAGCGTCCTGTGCACTGAATTATTGCCATTTGATTCCCTGTCAGGGCACATGGCTCAGTTGTAAGTTTGATCCCCCATCAGAGCACTTACAGAAGGCAACTGATGGATGTTTCTCTCACACCAATGTTTCTCTCTGTCTCTAAGCCTGTCCTTGGGTGTGGATTTTAAAAAGTACCATATATTTAAGTTAACAAAAATGTCCTAATAATTAATATAATGATAGCTGCACACATCTCTGAATTACATACATATATCGCAAAATAATTCCGTAATAAGTTTAGTTAACATAAATCACCTCACATCATTAAAGTTTTTTCCATGTACTGAGAACTTTAAAAATCTACACTTGGTTATCTTGTAACTGAACATTTGTACCTTTTGAGCACCTTCATTAATTCTCCCACCCTCAAACCCTGCCTCTGATAACCACAAATCACTTCTTGTTTTCCTATGAGTTTGGGTATTTTTTCAGATTTCATATATAAGTGAAATCAAACAGTATTTGTCTTTCTCTGTCTGACTTATTTCACTTAGAATAATGCCCTTAGGTCCATCCATGTGTTACAAATACCAGGATTTCTTTCCTTTTTAGCTGAATAGTACCCATTCTGTCTATTGAGCTATGCCACATTGTTTATCCATTTAGTGGTTGACAGACACTAGCTTGTAAAAATGATAGAGTTGTACATTTTAAATAAATAAAGCATATAGTAATTGGATTATATCTCAAATGAGCTTTTCTAGAATGAGAGGGGCAAGAGAGAGAGAGAGAGAGAAGACGTGAGGAAAGGAGGAAGAAAAAAAAAAAGAAATATTTTTTAGTTCACATACTTATGCAGAGAGTGAATGGCGCCAAGAAATTAAATTCTGTGAGCTTCTTGATATTTTCCACAAAGGGATCTTGTGGGTTGTTGAGGGAATCGATGTTCACTCCAAATGATGTACTAGTAATCACATCCATGCTGTAGGCCCCAAAGATGCTGAGTAGAGAAAGACATAGGACATTAAAATCATCACCTCTTTACTATCCTCATCAAACACATACAACAAGAAGGGCATGTAAATTCAAATATCAGGAAAAGAGCCACACAACTGTCAAAACCATCTGCTGAAGCATCTAAAGAATCTTGTTCCTGTCACACTCAATCATGAGGTGTTTATTAGGTGCCAGTGATGCAGCTGGCCCTGTGCCTGGTTATGGGGACACTAAGGCAAGTTAGACCCACCTGTGAGCACAGGGAGAGCAGTCAGAGGGATAGAGACCCATAATCAGAAAATTACAGTAGTGTTTTGAGTCTGGACAGTAGTGGCTGCACTGTACTCAAGCAGGACAAAGGGTAGATACTGAACTCTTCCTAGTGGAATCAAGAACGGTGACATTGACTGGGTCTTGCCTCCCACAGTATCTATACTCAGAGCTGATTCTGTTTCAGCACATTACAGAACAGCAGCACCCTGGTGTGAGTTGCCAGGAATGCCATCCCTCCTTCTCTGCACTCCTGCTAAAGCTCCTGAAAGACCCACTCTCCTCAACTCCAGTGATCTAAAGTTGCCTCAAGGGCAGACTCATTTCTGTAAAATGTAAGAACTAAGAACATTCCTGGTTTAAAAAGTAATAATAATAAATCACTCCAAAATCGATTTAGGGGAATTCCATAGATACGTGATCATATGTCTCCTGTTTTTCCAGATCAGTACCACTTTACTAATGTTCCTGCATAATTAAAAAAAATCTTACTTTAGACAGTAAATGGTATGCTCACTCTACCCATTGTCTGTACAGGACCTTCTTTATTTGAGACTAAAGAAAGGAGAAGTGGTGGTAAGATTTAATATTTAGTATTTTGCTGGTATCCTCACCAAAATCATGAAGGGGTTTAAGTTGTTCCAAGTTCCACACTGAAACTTCTCTGTCCCACCCACTGCCCACCAGTGTGTACCTGTGCCTTCCCTGCCACCATTTCACACTCTTTACAATGAAAACATTGGTAAATCATGTTTCTTATTTCTAAACTATATATTTTTGTCTTCCAGAATATCCTAGGTGACAATTAAGCAGACAAATTAATCCTGGTTCATGTACATAGAAGATCTTGCTCTTCTGGCTGCCCTGCCTTTTTGGGTGAGACACATCTTCTTGGGTAGCTCATTGGAGTTCTAACACCACACACCTACATCTGTTTGGTCACTAGAGTATCTAAACAGTGGGAATTTCAGCTCTGGCAGGCAACAGGAGGGTCTTGGGTCAGAGCTCAGAATCCCAGAAGCTGGACTCTTACTTACTCTTTCAAGTTGATGGGTTTGCCTCTCTCTGCTTCCTTTCTCAGGTTCCTCACCAGCACATCTCCATACTGGCCAATGATGGGGAACATCTAGACACAAAAGACAACACCTCCTGACATTAAATGTGAAGACTCATGTCCTAGAAGGCCTAGCTTTCTCAATCATGGAGCAGTAAGTGATATTTATAATGAATCTTATAATGTTACTTCTAGGACACAAAGATAGAAAAGAGGAAGCTCAAATTCAGCAGGCCACCCTTGAAAAGAAATTATCTTATTTCCCACTTGTCCCCAGATGCATTCTTGAAGTTTGAAGTTAAATATCCTCTTACATTCTTACCTCCTTCAGCTTTCCACTGGTGAAGGTTGGAGATAGCAATGTTCGTATTCTCTTCCAAGTGTCATCCTCAGCCAGAGATATGGCATTTTTCATAAATCCCGCTGCATTAAGCATCTAGAGGTGAAAGCAAAAGACATTTTGCTCTACATAAGTTTTGGAGGTCTCACAAATTGTTAATTGGGCATCAATTATTCAACAAATATTTAGTGACTGTCTAGTTAGTAGCAGACCTTATGCTAGATACTGACTAAATACTTATCCCAAATATCTAGCATCTCATGAAGGTGCAGGAAACATCCAGCCACCTGATGTGGTTTCTAGCCTTTATATTCCAATCTCTTTATCAAGGCAAATGAACATGTGTCAGGGAAACTGGTCTTCCAGGAGAATAGATAGGAATAAGACCTAGGACACCCTCCCAGGCTGTGCAGGATAGAAAGGGATTCTTGACAGATAGCCAGATAGCTCTGGTGAACTGTATGCTGCCTCTGACCAGTTCTATCTTTACTTACATCTACAGCATAAGCAACTTGAAAAGGGCATGTGGTTTTTTAATAAAATAAAATAGTGGTTAATACTTAAAAGATAAGAATCAATTTGCTATTCTGAAACAATGATACAATTACATGGAAATCCCTTTCACTTACATTTTTCACCAGAAATAGAAGATAAAAGAAAGAGGTTAATTCTATTTCTCAGGTTGGGACTGACCTACCAAGCCAACCTACTTGAGACTTTTCTCCCATTTTCCAACACTATATTTTGTTTTAAGATGGACATCTCCAATACACATTCATGATAAAAAACAACAACAACAAAAAACTCCCCTATCTACCTACAGGTAACACCTACCTACAGGTAACATCACATTTAGTGAGATAAACCTGGAGTAATATCACCTAGTGGAGTAGGAGACTCCTGTCTCCATTGCCCCTCGCCAAAAAAATCCTCAACAATTACCCAGCTATCAACACACAAAAATAGGTTTAGGAGAGCTAAGGAGTTCACTCAAGAAAATCAGTAAAAGAGTGGAGCAAAAAAACCTGAGAATAACTGTACAGAGTGGATAGGAATAATAGTTTCATTTTGTCTGCATCATCTCATCCTCCAGGTTGGCACTGCTCATTGCCAAGAAGAAATTCCACAACCTGGAAGACTTGCTGAGAAAAGAACAACAGAGTGAGTGACAATTTCCCACAGCCTTTCAGGACATTGCACAAATTACCTGCTTTGGTTTCACTACACCCACTATACTGGCGTAGATGAGAAGTCTAGAGATAGTTAAGAACAAAGAAGAGCAGGAACTACCAGTATTGGCCATGTAGCATGAGTGGCTCTGCTGAAGACCCCAGCAGCTTTTGAGGCTGAGGAAACCAACAGGGCACAGAGGCTGTGAACCCTCTGCCCATTGTACTGCTAACAGCCCCACTAGTTTTCATATTCACAAATTCCAGGAGCTTGAGTCCTGCCCAACCACACTCCACCCCCACAACAGCTGCCCCAACTTATACCACTATCAACGCCCTTAGCCTCAGGATCTGTACCAGCAGCCAGTCCTGGCCTCTGTGGCTGGGCATGCATGTAACACCAGCTCAGTCTTCTGCAGATTCTCAGATGCCTAGAGCCAGCTTTGACTCCTGATAGTGGACTATACTGCCACTAGGCCCATAGCTAAGCCCTATAGACGTACATCTGCACACTTTTAGCCTGAACTCCATTCACCAGCCCCCACTGCCATGCATGTACTGGTAGGTAGCTGCTATAAATACATGAGTATATACTGACAGGCCAGGCATGCTAAGCTACTTGTGTGCCCACAGTTGGCCCAAACCCCTGCCACTGGAATTGGATCTCACCACTGGACATGTGTGCCTGAAGTTAGCCCCCAAAATTTGCATACCACCAAATTTGGCCACCACTGTGCCTGCCCTAGTCCCGCATCACTAGACATCTTAAAAAAAAAATTTTTTTTATTGATTTTAGAGAGAGAGAGAAACATCGATGAGAGAGAACATCTATTGGCAGCCTCCTGCATGCCCTCTACTGGGGATCTGGCCCACAACCTGGGCATGTGCCATGACTGGGAATCGAACCAGAGGTCTCTTGGTACATGGATCGATGCTCAACCACTGAGCCACACTGGCCTGGCACCACTGGACCTCTTGATGCTGTTGAAGATCCCAATAGCCCTTGCAGCCACCATGGAACAAACACAGCTCTTGCTGTCAAGGATCATATAGTTGGTTATGTTGTGAACCCCTGCTACCTGGCCAACATTGCCACCAGACCTGGAGCCACTACACACCCCCACACCACTAGACCGAGAGTCACAGCACACTCCAGTGTGCCCCAACCCACAAGTAAAGGTCTTCCCTTACTAAAGTCTACAAGAGGTGAATGCATAGACACCACTGCAAAACTACAGTAATCAAAAGAATCAGGGAGCCCTGGCCAGTGGTTAGAGCACTGACCCACAGACTGAAGGGTCACAGGTTCGATTCCTGATCAAGGGCACATATGTGGATTGCAGGTTTGAACCTTGGTCAGGATCCTGTGGGAGGCAACCAACCGATGTGTCTCTCTCACATCAATGTCTCTCTTTCTCTCTCTCTCTCTCTCTCTCTCTCTCTCCTCCCCCTCCACCCCTCTCTCTCCCCCTCCTGCCCTTCCACCCCATCTAAAAATCAATTGAAAAATACCCTCAGGTGAAGACTAACAAAAAGAAAAAATATATATCAGGAAAACATGATTCCACAAAAGGAACACAATAAACTTCTAGTAATAGACCCCAAAGAAATGGAGATTACAAATTGCCCTGACAAGGTATTCAGAATAAGTGTCTTACCAAGTTCAGAGAGCTGAAGAAAGACACACATACAAAAATTAACAAGATCATCTGGTATCATATTTGCTGATTCTTCATGATCCTTATAGTCTTGCAGTGGTGTCTGTACATTGTCATTAACTAATTTTACCTCAATAAATTTAATTTATGTATAATTTAACAAAATAAAAAAATTACAAAAAAAAAGAAGAGAAATTGAACAAAAAGATATAAAGCATAAAAGAAAAATTAAAGTTTGAGGCTGAAGAGTATAATGACTGAACTAAAAAAATGCAACAGAGAACTACAGGATTAGAAGCAATCAAATGGAAGAAAAGTAAGTGAACTCATCATCAGATCATTTAAATTATCTAGTCATATCCCACACCCACATGTGGTGGATAAAAATCAGGTGGGACACCCTGGACAGTTTGGCTCAGTGGTTGGAGCGTTGGCCCCATGGACCAAAGAGTCACGAGTTCGGTTCTGGTCAAGGAACCTCAGTTGCAGTTTGTGGCCCTGGTCAGTCAGCGTCATGCAAGAAACAGCCAATTGATGTGTCTCTCTCACATTGATGTTTCTCTCTCTCTCTCTCTCTCTCTCTCTCTCTCTCTCTCTCCTCTTTCCTTTTCCTCCCTTCCCCCTTCCCACTCTATCTGAACATAAATGGAAAAATATCCTCAGGTGAGGATTAAAAAAAAATCAGGAGGGATATCTTGGTTGTGGAGGTCCCCCTGAAGAGGAGGGGGAGATCCCAAACCCCCACCAGGCCCCCCAGCCCAGGGTTCCAGTGTCAGGAAGAGAATTCCTTATAACTTCTGGCTGTAATACTAATGGGGATTGAGGCTGAGAGAGATGGAGGCTTCTGGAATCCCAGGTAGTGCCTTTTAAAGGGTCTGCACACAGACTTACTCAGACTCACTCCATCTGAGCTCCAGTATAGTGGCAGCAGCTTAAAAGGCACCAGAGACATATGGGGAGGAACTGAATTGTCCAGCATCAGAGCAAGAGCTGGGTGGTGGTGGGGGGGAGCTTTCTCCCAGACAGAAGTGCTAGCAGAGGCCATTGTTCCTTTGATGAGCCCTCCCCTACAGAGCTGAAATGTGGGCACCATATCTGAGACTTAATCAACCTGGCTTACACTATTTGCTCCACCCTGGTGATTCTCTAAAACCCTACCCCACCCAACTTTTGGGAATAGCCAAACTGCTTCCAGTGGCTTTTCCATATGAATGGTCTGTCTTGGCTCACGCTTCAGATTTTCCCAAAGTCCTCAAAAAAGTAGCATCTGGCCTCAGTGAGCTGTGTATCTCTCACTAAGTAGCTCCAGCAGGCCTGGCACTAGCAACAGCCATCCTTGGTTCATATCTTGGCCTCACCTGGGCACCTCTAAGCCCAGCATAAGTATCAGCCATCTGCAAATCACTTTGTAGCTCATGCCAGGAGGTGGGGGTGGGGAGGCGGGCATGCACAGATGATGGCTGACCTTGGGTAGACCACCCAGTAGGTCCCAGAGCCAGTGCACATAATGGACAGCTTAAGACCACATTGAAGCACCACCACCCAACCACCTCCACAAGCAACGCACTCAAGGGGTGGCCTCAGCAAGCACCAGAGCCCAGCTGATCCTCCATGGTGATTGGAGGTCAGTGGTCAAGTGGTTGCAGCCAATATTTGCAGTTGATCAGCCTGGAGGTAAATGCTTCTTATTGATATGCCAAGAGCAATCAATGCTCAACTACAAGAGGAGGATGTACACAGCCACATGGGGAGTGTGCACCTGGTGCCTAGATTGGGTGACCAGGGAGGCTGTGCCAATGGACCTTATCGAACACCTACTACATTAGGCCACTCTACCAAACCCAGGAGACATAGCCACTCTACCTAATACATAGAAACAAACATAGGGAGACTGCTAAAATGAGGAGACAAAGAAACATGTCCCAAATAAAAGAACAGAATAAAAATCCAGAAAAATAACTAAACAAAATGGAGACAAACAATCTACTAGATGCAGAGTTCAAAACACTGGTTATAAGGATGCTCAATGAACTTAATGAGAATCTCAACAGCATAAAAAAGGAATACTCAGAAATGAAGGATACACTAACTGAAATGAAGAATAATTTACAGGAAATGAACAATAGAGTAGATGAAGCCGAGAATCAAATCACTGATTTGGAATATAAGGAAGCAAAAAACACCAATCAGAACAGCAAAAAGAAAAAAGAATCCAAAAAAATTAGGATACTGTGAAGAGCCTCTGGGACAACTTCAAACATACCCACATTTGTATCATAAGGGTGCCAGAAGGAGAAGAGAGAGAGCAAGAAATTGAAAACCTATTTGACAAAATGGTAGAAAACTTTCCTAGCTTGGTGAAGGAAATAGACAAACAAGTCCAGGAAGCACAGAGAGTCCCAGACAAGATGAACCCAAAGAAGCCCTCACCAAGACACATCATATTCGAATGCTAAAGCTTAAAGACAAAGAAAGAATATTAAAAGCAGCAAGAGAAAATCAGTTAGTTACCTGCAAGGGAGATCACATAAGACTGTCAGCTGATTTCTCAATAGAAACTTTGTAGGCCAGAAGGAAGAGCAATAAATATTCAAAGTGATGAAAAGCAGGGACATACAACCAAGATTACCCAATAAAGCTATCATTTAGAATCAAAGGACAGATAAAGAGTTTCCCAGATAAGAAAAAGCTAAAGGAGTTCATCACCACCAATCAGTATTACAAGAAATGTTAAAGGGATGGCAATAATGAAGAAGAAGGAGGAGGAGGACGAGGATAAGGAAAGGAAGAGGAAGGGTTGGGGGGAGGAGGGAAGGATAAAGAAAAGGGGGAAGAAAAAACAGAACCAAAATATGAATAATAAAATGGCAATAACTACATATCTATCAACAATTACTTTAAATGTAAATGGATTAAATGCTCTAATCAAAGACATACGGTGGCTGAATGGATAACAAAACAAGACCCTTACATATGTTGTCTACAAGAGATACATATCTGATTGAAAGACACACAATGGAAATGGAAAAGATAGTTTATAAAAATGGGAACAAAAAATATTGCTGGGTTAGCAATACTTATACTAAACAAACTAGATTTAAAAAAAAAGGCTATAACAAAAGACAAAGAAGGACCCAGTAGTTTCACTTCTGGGTATTTATCCAAAGAAACTCAAAACAAATTTGAAAAGGCATCTGTATCCATAAGTTCATTGCAGCATTATTTACAATGGCCAAGATATAAAAGCAACCTAAGTGTCTATCAGTAGATGAATGAATAAAGAAGAAGAGGTGCATATATAAAATGGAATGTGATTCAGCTATATATATAAAAA